GAGTTTGAAAAGACAAGAACATCATCTATATAGACAATGCAGAAATTGGAATAAGGATTGAAAATATCATTCATGATATTCTGAAATTCTGAAGGAGCGTTTTTAAGACCGAAAGGCATTACGTTCCACTTGTATTTCCCAAACGGTACAGTGAAAGTTGTCTTATAGCGATCACTAGGATTGATTTGGATCTGCCAAAATCCATATTTCATGTCAAATAGTCTCCGAGGAGGCTTTGAATGATTGAGCATCCTAAGTTGAGGATACTGATCTTCCTGAGCGGGAGGATCGACCTAGGGTGATTCCTTTCCCTCTTCCTCTGGAAGAGCCTGTTCTGAGCCGTAATTTCGGCGTCATCTCATTATCTTTGTCCCTGAAGAAATTCACGGGTAAGATAGTCAGGTAAAGTGTTTGAGGTGCCTTTGATATATTCAATTTCAGAATCAAATACACTTAAGATAGCTTGCCATCTGGCAAAAATTTGTTTTGATGCTAAATTTTTAACATCTTTTTGTAAAATTTCTTTGGCAGATTTACAATCAACCCTAACCAAAAAAAAATTATTTAATAAATCAGATTGAAATTTTGAAATGCATACAACAATGGCTAAAACTTCCTTTTTAATGGTAGAATAATTTTGTTGTGCCCTGTTTCAATGCTTTGACGTAAAAGCAATGCAGTTTTCAACATTATGCATGTGTTGCTTGAGAACACCACCATAACCAATGTTAGAGGCATCGGTTTCAACAATCTTAAGGAGACTGGGATTTGGTAAGTATAAGCAGGGTAAAACTTTAACCTGGTGTTTGATTTGTCTGACAATATTAGTGTGAACATCAGTCCACGGAGATGGAGATTTTTTAAGCCTTTCATGAAGGGGTTTAGTAATATTGCTAAGTTGAGGAAAGAAATCAGCAACATAATTTAAGCAACCTAAAAATCTTTGGAGTTGCGTTTTGTCAAGAATTTGATTGGGGAATTTATCAGTAAATTCAATGACTCGACAAATAGGCCGGATAGCACCTTGAAAGATTGTATGACCAAGGAATTTGATTTTTGTCTGAAAGAGATAGATTTTGGTTTTGGAGATGGCAAGACCATTACGTTTAATGACTTTGAAAAATATTTCAAGATGTTTGAAATGCTGATCAATGGAGTTTGAAAAGACAAGAACATCATCTATATAGACAATGCAGAAATTGGAATAAGGATTGAAAATATCATTCATGATATTCTGAAATTCTGAAGGAGCGTTTTTAAGACCGAAAGGCATTATGTTTCACTCGTATTGCCCAAACAGTACAGTGAAAGTTGTCTTATAGCGATCACTAGGATTGATTTGGATCTGCCAAAATCCAAATTTCATGTCAAATTTGGAAAAGATTTTTGCCGAATGGAGTCGGGCAAGAAGATCCTTCTTATTAGGAATAGGATATCTAATCCATTGAAGGGCTTGATTAAGAGGTTTGTAGTTGATTACCAACCGTGGAGCACCGGGCTCGATTTCAGAAGCTTTATTGACATAGAAAGTTGCGCAAGACTAAGGACTCTTGCTTTTGCTAATCAATCCTTTGGATAGGAAATCTTTGATTTCTTTTTGGCAGTGAGTGACAAGTTCATGACTCATCTGGATAGGCCGAGCTTTAGTCGGGATTTGTCGATCAGTAAAGTCCTTTTCATAGGGAAGATTAACAATGTGCCTTTTTCTTTCCCAAAAAAGCATTAGGAAGATCAGAACATATGATATTTTGGAAACGATCATGAAGACTCTTAATACGTTGTTTGACATTAGAATGAGAAAGCTGGCTTTCGATATGTTTGTTGGAAATTTCATATATATATATATATGAGAAGAGATCTGTTTACTCTAGGGGTAAGTCTACCTAGACTTACTTTATTCAATATCTCATGTTCTACATCAAATTTTAATAATTCAACCGTTGAATTTAAAGTTCTTAATGTATAGATCAACTCTGCAATTTATTTTAAAAAGAATTGAAAAGAATTTGATACTTCATTTTATTAATTCAAACCAACATATAAATTATTTTTATGATTATCTATCTTTTAAATTAATGAAACGAAGTATCAAATAGTTTTTAAATTTTTTTAAAAAATTACAAACTTAATCTATGTATTAAGCACTTTAAATTCAATGGTTGGATCATTGAAATTTGATGGATGTAAAACATGAATTATTGAACGGAGTAAGTCTAGGTAGACTTACTCTTGTGTGTGTGTATATATATATGAGTTAATCACCTATACATTGTCAGTGTAAAGTTTTTTTACACTAACAACCAATTATATCTCTTAATTGTGTCATGTCACTGTTAAAAGTAAATGTGTTTACAGTGACATGACATAATTAAGAGATATAATTGGTTGCCAGTGTAAAAAAACTTTACAATGGCAGTTTATAGGTGATTAACTCTATATATATATATATATGTATATATATATATGTATATATATATATATACACACACACACAAGAGTAAGTCTACCTAGACTTACTCCATTCAATAACTCATGTTCTACATCAAATTTCATCGATTCAACCGTTAAAATTAAAGTTCTTAATGCATAGATCAAATTTGCAAGTTTTTAAAAAAATTTGAAGACCATTTGATATTTTGTTTCATTAATTCAAATCAATGTATAAAATGATTTTATGATTATCTGTCAATTTGAATTAATGAAATGAAGTATCAAATGGTTTTCAAATTTTTTAAAAATTTGAAGACTTGATCTATACATTAAGTACTTTAAATTCAATGGTTGGATCGTTGAAATTTGATGTAAAACATAAGTTATTGAACGGAGTAAGTTTAGGTAGACTTACTTCTAGAGTAAACAAATCTCTCCTCATATATATATATATATATATATATATATATATAATTTATTATTACCAAAATAGAATTACACACATATAATTTATCTAATAATTTATGTTTTTAAGTTGTTATAATAAATTGTTTTATATTTAATTAAAAGTCAAACTTGTAAATGTAATATATTATTAAATTAATAAATGCAATGCTAATATTATTAACAAAAAAATAATTTCTCGTAAAATTGAGTACTTATATATTATATATAGATAAGAATTCACTTACTCTAAGAGTAAAATATGTGGCCTACATTGAGTTTCAACAGTTAGATCATTGAAATTCAATATAGATCATGAGTTAGTGAGTAAAGTAACTCTACCATGGCTTACTATTGGAATAAGTAGATTCATTCTTGTGTGTGTGTATGGCTTACTATTGGAATAAGTAGATTCATTCTTGTGTGTGTGTATGGCTTACTATTGGAATAAGTAGATTCATTCTTGTGTGTGTGTGTGTGTGTGTGTGTGTGTGTGTGTGTGTGTGTGTGTGTGTGTGTGTGTGTGTGTGTGTGTG